GTCAATTTGACCAGGGGCTGCCTGGCTTGAGGCGGGCAGTAGCAAACCATTGAACACCCGGAGGTGTCCTCCCACCGTCAGAGACAATGCGTGGCACTCGTGCTCTACTCCAATCGAGCTGTGAGCTTCTAACCCGTAAACCTGTTGTCTCCCATGGCTAGGTTTTACGGGAAGAAGGCCATCGACCACTTCCTAACCTCCGAAGAGGATGGACTAGGATACTGCCAGGGCGCCCACACCTGACAGGAGAACGACTCGGGTCCTCAGCCAAAGCCTTCGATTAAATATACACCCGAAAGGCAGCGGGTCTAGCACATAGTCAGTTAGCCGACTCATGGGGATTGGTGTCCTGGATCTTAGCAGGGAGAAGGGCGAAACCCAACCCCCACCCAGCGGTCGCCACGTGGAGGCGCCCAGGACATGAGAGTATGGCGCAGCAGTAGCAGCAGTGGGTAGACCATCTGTCAGGATCTAGCCACCACCAGCCTCAGCGCACCATAGGCTCTCTCGCCATATATATATATATATATATATATATATATATATATATATATATATATATATATATATATATATATATATATATATATATATACTTAGGAGACAGTACCAAATGGATGCATTGACCAGCATTCCTTTTCTTTCCTAGGTTTTCAAACTGTAGTACAACAGAACATCCAGAGACTAACCAGCGAGCGGAAGAGCATGAACTAGGAATTCAGGCTTAACACATTTGTCTCGTGAATCTGCTTTAATTCCTTCAAGCTTTTTGCCATTTTTGTCACATGGTTTGCGATATCATCCTTCTGGGCCATGTCGCTCAAGAATTTGCTCGATTTTGGCAGATTAACGTGGGGTTTCGCGATGTATTCGCATATGTCCATTAACACCCATCCCGATCCGAACCGGATAACATCGCAGATGAGGCGCAAGTTTTTAATGTTTTGAAGGACTGCAAGCACTTGCTTGTGATAAATGATTCTTTACTTCATTGACTAACTTCTGTTGGCTCTCAACCCCTGGGATGTATGCTTTTCTCAAATTCTGCAGGCCGCAAGCCCCCTTACGTTCTATGATTAGCACTTTTAATTCATCCTTGCCACAGCATTTCCCTGAATTCATTATGATACTGTCATTTACCGTCTCATTATCTGGAGCCCATTGGTTCTGTACGGCGTTGGTGCTCATAGGTATTGCAATGGATTACGAAGGAAATACAATTTACTCTTTTCCCACCTGTAGGTTTTCTGAAGTATGCCTGTCAGAGCCTTTCCTTCCATCGGTTCACTGCTGTTCAGACAGCTTTTTGAGAGTGTTTCTTGCACATATAGCTATATTCTTGCTGACCGGGCTTCCAGACAGGCTGTTATAATCGATCCTGTGTTGGAGACTGTGGAGCGAGACGCCAAGTTGGTAAGTTTCTCTCCCGTATTCCAAATAATGCTTGTTTTTATTTTCTGACAGCTATGCGGGTTGACGGCAACGCAGGTTCATCAGCACTCGCATCTTTTTGTGCAGTGGGTCTCCTGCTTCTAGTTATGTCCCACCATCGATACGTCTTGTTACATTTTTTATAAACGTACATCGTTTTGCACGTTATTAGGCGGAAACTGCTTGATGTTTAAATCTATCTGGTCTCTTCCGCTGCTCTTCTGTTGAACTGCATCCTGTTTGCTTTTTACCCATACATCAACTATCCATTGAGAAGTGGGACTCTGACTAAAACTTTGCTGTTACTTTAATTCCGGACTAAAACACGAGGGAAAATGTGTCCGACGAAAAGTGGCACACTCACTAACCAAACTGAACTTGTCCTAGGGAAGTTTCTCCTAGCTAGACGGATTCATTTCTGAAGTGTCCGTGCACGATAATTCCCACTCAACGGCTCTCTTGCATTCATTCTATTTATTTTGTTAATTATTACACGGTGTACGCGCATTGATCCCGAATGTTTGCTTAGGGCATTAAGGTTTTCCGGTACGTTATCCATCTCTCCCTCCTATTATTCTTTACTCCATTGGTATCATGGTTGTATGTCAGCGAAGGAGTGTGGGCCGGCTCCGTTGATGCAACGTAGCTCCCATCCACATGACTCCCGGTCTTATTCCTTCGGGTTTAGACTGGATATGGGGTGCGGATGGTGCAACGCAAGCCACCCATGGTTCCTCTGTAGGTGCAGGCGTCCTGTGGCTGTCCCCATGGAGGCCACAGTGACAAGCAAATCCGGATACGGATGCTGCCAATCCATGTGAGCGAAGTATCAGTTCAAATGGCTGATGTGCTGCTATTCTTGTTGTTTGTTGTTGCATTAGTGTCTCACATTGGTTAACCAGTGTTCGTCTCAGTTTTTCAACTGCTCCGTCTGTACGTCATCTTTACTTTGTGACTTATTTTTGCTAGGAAATTTTGATCGGTTGAACGGCACAGCTTGAACTATGTTCATCCCAGCAACTGAGCTGGGGAAATAAGCACCACGTGGACTAGGCTATTTTTCGACTGAATCAGTTTTCGCTTCCCTCGCATCAACAACTACAGTCGGGCTACAAAGCGGTGACACTATTCAAACTAGAGTGAGCATGCGTTCTGGGTACCATATTGAGTGATATTTCAGTAAAGCTGCCACATGTTCCATATGCACAGTGGGCCTTCTGATCCAGCATGAAATTACGCTGTTGTATACCTGGGATTGTTTCCCCATAAACCTTGCTGCTGATGCACCTACGTCCAGCATCGCCATTAAACAGTGCTCTCCTCGTTCTTGCCCATCTTTTGTGGATACTGTTGCAAGCTATCAAAGACTCTCAGCTTCGAGGCCAGTCGCAATCATCATCATCATCATCATCATCATCATCATCATCATCATCATTATACATGTCAGCTAGAGATGGTAAAACACCGCTACTGTACCGCAATACATAAAGGGAATACATACATACAATACATAAAGGAAAAATAAATACGACAGTTGAATGCCAGCTGAGCTACCAGCAACGGATACGCATCGTTCCGGTAAGCTACTAGCCGGCTACTAGGCAAAAACAAAAATTTAATTACGTTTTACCCTACGAAATAAGATCGTAGATGGAGGGGGAGGGACAAAGAAACTCACAGCAGGAACGCCACTGAGGTCGGCTCCTTGCCATATCAGCAAGTGTATCCAGCCAAACGTGTTCACCGTCTTTTGGACCCCAACCAGGGAGCCGTGAAGCTCCAACTGATGCCAGCTCAGAAGTGAGGGCCTTCATTCCTCTGGACCAAGTCATCGCTTGGCCACCTCTCCTCTTCTTCCACCCACATCCCCGGTGAGCAAACAACGCACGTCGAGGGAGTCGGTGGGCTGGCAAGCGCAACACGTGGCCCAGCCATCGGAGCCTGGTGAGTGAAATGACGGTGCTGAGCGGTTCATTCCCTTTTCCTAGGCCGTAAACAAGGCGTCGAACACGCTCGTTACTCACGCGGTGTTCCCACCAGATGTGAGCCAAACTGCGAAGGCACCGATGGTGGAACGTAAGTAGCCTCTTCATGTCCGCCGATCTTAGGGGCCAGGTTTCGCAACCGTACAGTAAGGTCGAACGTACCGCTGCATTGTACACTCTACCCTTCAGGGCGAGAGTAATGTCGCGCCGTCGCCATAGGTGGCGAAGGTTAGCAAAAGCACTTCGAGCTTTCGCTATGCGGTTCGTGATCTCGTCTGCGATCCCAAGGGCGCTGATACAACTTCCCAGGTAATTGAATTTCTGAACGACTTCTAGCTGATCCCCACCAAGGGTCAGCACAGAGGGCGAACCCTGCCAATCCTGGAGGAACGCTTTGCACTTCGGTGATGCAAAGCAAAGCCCGAAGCGACTGACAGCCAGTGCTAATCTGTCCAGCGCGGCCAGTCGCAATACCAGTTGTCAGACACTGAAGCATAAAGTACCATTACTCAGAATTAAGTGGTGCAGCAAAACTAAGAGCTGATTGCGTGTTTCTGTGTAAATTAACTAGGTCCAAGTTAGACCCGGCGCTTGAGTCCGCATTGTATCGGGCAGAGCTGAGACCCTGATCCAGATTTTCCGGTTGTGTCTGCATACGTCTTGATGCCGCATGTATATGTTACCGTTTATAGGTTATTCCAGATGCAGTCTATCATCATGCATCCATGATTGTCCCATTCTTTGACTTGTACACTGTGCCAGATCCCTCATGGCTACCGCGCTAATGAATATGGATCAATTGGAGCTCTACGACGTCTGCGCCATGAGGATTTATCTAAATGTAGGTTTGGGAGACTAGACGAATAATAGTTTGCAATTCCGGAAGGCATGTAACTTTTAGGAAATCTGAGCGCCAAACTAATACAAGCCTACATTTTGGTACCTACCACAGTTATAGAACTGGATGCAAGATGATGTTTGTGTGGCATTTACTGCATTTAACCTATCGTTTAAATATGCTCACTATGGATTCCATATTACTGTGATCGGCGTGATGCCCCTTAGGATACAAGCATATCTCAACTTTTCATGGATTTGCGTCTCCTTTAATTGCATTCCTGGCAGATTCTGTTCATTACTCTCACTATAGCATGACCTCCATGTGTCTTGTGTGCCCGGTAAACTGGTCCACGAATTTGCACGTTATAGGCAATGGATTTTACTCCCTTTTAATTCTTGTCATTTGTTCTTCACAGCTCTCAGAATTAGACCTGAAACTTGGACCGATTATCAACACCCATATGCACGCAGACCATGTCACTGGAAGTGGTCTCCTTAAAAAGCGCTTCCCAGGCAGCCACAGCGTGCTTGGTGTGTACGATGGCGTGTTAGCAGATCGTATGGTCAAACACGGGGATCTTATAAAGTTTGGACAATTTGAGCTTGAATGTCGAAGCACACCAGGTGAGCCTAGTATCTTAACTTTTGCCTTCCGCAGCATCCTCGATTAGAATTAACATAACATTTCACCGCCTTGGTTAGCGTCTCACAGTTGTGTGCAACCTCCCCTCGCTACATAGCGTTATGACGATCCCACCAAGCTCAACTATACTTGGCAGACGCTGTCGCACCTCGCTTAAGTCGATGAAAGCCTCCCTGCTGGACTAAGCGAAACCTTCTGCGAAGTGAATGGCTCCCTAATAACTAAAACAACGGTTGGAGCGATGGACTGAACATTTTGGCTCGCCGTTTTGCTGCCGGCCAATTCCATTTGCTTCCTATGGGATGCACATATCTGCTGAGTGGTCTATCCCCAGCGATCCTTTCTCTCATCATAAAATCTGTCAGGAACTCCGCCACCTGAAGCATTATGAAGCATCATTATACACGTCAGCTAGAGGTGGGAAACACCTCAGCCACTGTGTCGCAATACATAAAGGAAAAAGGAAAATAAATACAAAAGTTGCATGCCAGCTGAGCTACCAGCACCGGATAGGCATCGTTCCGGTAAGCTATCAGCCAGCTACTAGGCAAAAAGAAAAATGTTGTACGCTGCGAAATGAGATCGTAGGTGGAGGAGGAGGCTAAAAAGGGATGGGGAGTGACAAAGAAACTCACAGCAGGAACGCCACTGAGGTCGGCTCCTTGCCATGTCAGCCAGCCAAACGTGTTCACCGTCTTTTGGATCCCAACCAGAGCGACGTGCCGCTCCAACCGAGGCCAGCTCCGAAGTGAGGGCCAGTATTATGAAGCACTCGGCTCTGATGGTTTACGTCCTGTTCTATTTAGAGATAGAGTCTATTCGCTGGTTCGGGAACTCACCGCTTTGTTCTCAGAATCCTGGTCAAAAGGGGAGATCCCATGGTCTTGGGTTGAGTCAATAGTCGCCCCCAACTTCGTAAAGAGCCTGTGCACAATGTGCTCCAACCACGGGGGTACAGATCTGAGTTCCGTCGTTTGAAGGTTACTGGTGTCCATCATACTTCGCAGACAATCCACAATGTGCGAATCGCTACAACAAGGAGGACAGGCTTGGTTCCGCCCTGGTCGCGGCTGTATTGATCAAACTTTTACACCCCATCAAATCCTCGAGGTCCGCAATGTATATGAAAACCAACGATTGTTTTCTTGGATATCCGCGCTGTCTTTGATTCTTCCGACTGGATTGCATGGTGACACTGTCTGTTGAGGAATAGCATCCCCGGGAAGTTCGTTTCCGTACTGTGTGCCATGATTTATGTCAAGCCTTCGTCTACGTTTGCTGTCACCGGTGGATTTCGACAATGATATCCTATCTCCCCATTCCTCTTCAGTTTTGCCATTGAAGAATGTGTCCCCAAAAATGCTCTGGAAGGTTCGTTGAACTCTGACGTTGAGCTCCTCCCAGGTAGTCGGGTTGCTGATTTTGCACTACGCTGATAATGCTGTCTGGCCGGGTGACGGTCCACAGACCTTCCCACTTACATTAACCAATTAATGATTGAAGCGTCAAAGTATGGCATGCATTTTTCACCATCCTAGTGTTGAGCTCTTCTTCAAGACTGGTGCATGCCTGTACCTACACCCTATTCTTGTTGTTGCGATACTGGAGATTGTGAGGAATTGTCTGTCTGGGAATCTGCATCACTGCTGTTGGGAATGTTATGGGCGAGATTTCGATGAGTATCACAAGAGCTCGTCTCGCTTTCTCCTGACTGAGGCACTTGTGGCACCACCATGACATCGTCTCTTCATCAAAAGGCGCTGTACTGTTGTACGGTTGTTAGACCTAGCCTGTTCATACCGACGACCTCCGCCCACTGTCTTCGAACACCGTTACTTGCGCTTCATTGCCTGTATGTTGTGGCCGCACCGCGTAACCAATCTAAAGATTAGACATCGTGTCTTGGATTGACGCAGCCACTCGCTCGAGGCGCTTGTTGCATTAACTACGGGGTCTTGGACACGTATTAGATATGTCCGTTCAACGTCTTCCGCGTCGTACGATGTTTGCGGTTTGCTGGGCAGGGCTGGAGAAGGCGGCGTGGCGGACGTGCTACAACTTGTGGAAGTAGGATGAATCCTATGGCCTCGGTGAGTTCTTCTCGACTCCCTGTGTGGTCCCAGGGACGCTGAGTCTAGCTAGTTGGAGACCCTAAAAATCATAGGTCAAAACTGAAGTTAGTGGCGCTCGTGTATCTCTTCTTCTTGCGGTGATTCCCTTTCCCTCCACCAATAAAATTACTGTCAAAAGAACTCAAACACTAAGTTGGCAACAGAACAAAAAGATGTTTGCTTTGGAAATCTTTCGATGTTGCTCCTCCACTACGACCGCGGGTTCGTCCTAGTTTGGACTCATCAAGCGGAGATAGCCTGAGTTGGGGTGGAAATCAGAGCCCATTGGTTCACGGCTGAGACCGTAAACACTATGTCGCTGAGATCCGCTAACAACGCTTGGTACAACAGAAAGGAATTCAAAGTTAGACTTGGAGACTTGGTTTGCGACACGCAACCTCTATTGTGACCTCGGTTCACTAGAGGTAGAGGTCAGTCATTCCGCTCGCAAGTACCGTAAGTGAAATGGAAATAATTCGGTGTTGCTTTTGCCAACACTGGCACACCACGACCGCGGTTTCGTACTGGTTTGGACTCATCAGGTGGAGATAGCCTGAGCTGGGGTGAAACTCAGAGCCTAGTAGTTCACGGCTGAGGTCTACCAATGTTGGGAGGAGTAACACCGAAATATTTCCATTTCACTTACGGTACTTGCGAGCGGAATGATTGAGGTCTACCTCAAGTGAACCGATTTCTCAACAGAGGTTGCGTGTCGCAACCCAACCCCACAGCGGGTTCTCCAAATCCAACTTTGATGTTTACTTCTTCTTTTCCTACCCCGAGTCTGAGGGCACAATATGGGTACATAATCTATATATGCTGGGAGACTAATGTAAACAGCAGTGATATGGATTCACATTATCAATTTACAGTCCATTAAAGCTGTTGTACCTAGCGCTGAGGACTAGGGATAATAGTCAACAATCGGGATCGGGAGAAACAAGGTTGGAAAGAAAGAACGAGGAACTTGGAAGCATAAGTCAGTTATCGCTATATATATATATATATATATATATATATATATATATAGCGATAACTGACTTATGCTTCCAAGTTCCTCGTTCTTTCTTTCCAACCTTGTTTCTCCCGATCCCGATTGTTGACTATTATCCCTAGTCCTCAGCGCTAGGTACAACAGCTTTAATGGACTGTAAATTGATAATGTGAATCCATATCACTGCTGTTTACATTAGTCTCCCAGCATCAAAAACTGATTGTCGTGCCGCACTGTTCGGCCCCCTGACCGCATCAGTCGTTGTGAGGTTTCGGATCGGGATGTTAATGTCACGACGGACAACCCTATGGCGAAAGCGTCTCAAAAAGATTCGTGGGTATTTTGCACTGTGCCACCCACAGCCCCATTCTCATGCCTCATACTCGTGTGCACCAGAAGGAGTAATGCAGAATAGCAAGCGGACCCTTCCCGGGCCTTGTTCACGATTGTTTTATATGGGGTCAGACTTTGACCTCCGCGTATGCGAATGCGGATGGCAGTCACTCGCGGGCGATAGCTTTCATCGTCTCGTGTTTCGATCTGATACCATTATTGTCGAAGCTGCAGGTTTTCTTTCTAGTCCACCACATTTTTGTGGACTGGTAATCCTTTCTGAGGCAAGTAGACTAGCTTTGTACTCTCTCCAATGCTCCCCTATTGCTTTTGTGCGTGTTGGTGACTTCATGCTTAATCCCTCTTTAGTCATACTGCTCTTCTGTCATCTTCCACGTATTGCTTAGTGTAAGCGGTAAATTTACTATGCAATTCACAAGCTGGAGTATGACACTATCTAACTCTGGACTCCCACCAACTGTTTGTTTACCCACTCTATGCCTTATGGTTACTTGCCCTCCCGACATAAGTGTTATGTAATTCACAATATGAATAACATGATTTGGTTCTTCACTCCTACCACCTATCCGCTCACCTAGTTTATGTGCCATGGTTACGTGCCAACCAACATAACTATTATGTCCGGATCTCAGTCTGGATGACCAACGCAGACGCCTGTCCCAATTGAAGAGCGCCGACTTACCGATTGTCTACCATCTGGACTCATATTGAAGTTGCCATGACTTCATTTCACCTCTCACTGTGTGGACCGTTCGCTCACACTGTGCAACCCGTCCAGACCACCCCACCCACCCACACCTCGGACTTGAATCATCCGCCGCCCCAGGGGTGTGCACCTCCATGCTCCTCCCACCCCCACCCCACTGTTTAACTCAGTCAAGCCACCCGAAGAGCCCAGCCCATCGCGTTCCTTTTCCCACACTGTATAGGGAATCAATGAACCAAGGGTTAACGGTCCTAATAAAAGGTCATACTCCGATCGTGGACTCGGTATCGCGTGACTCTTTATGTGCCATGGCAACTACCGTTTGCATTCCTTTTGGACTCGATTAAATTGGAGGGAAGTACTCAACAACCGTTTTGATTGGATTCACTTGGAGTACAAGTACTCGATAACCGGGAGTTTTTACGTGTCAAGCGATTTGGTCGCTTACACTTAGCGATGAGCACGACTTTTTGCTATGATCGATAGGGTACCTTTCTAAATTCGATCATTTGTAGGCATTTTGATGCCTACAATGATTTTTATTTACAGGTCGTAAATGGCCGATTTCATCCACTCCATAGGGATCTTTCAAAATGCTTCTTCAACGCTTTCTAAATTTAATATTTTCCCTTTTCGCACTTCATACTATCTTAAACTTATATGAATTTACTTGTCGCATTTAATTGTTGATCCGACGAAAGTCATAAGTATGCTGCGTGAGCGGTTGCTATGGTGGTAGTTGTATGTTTCATTTCCCCCTTAACTATGTATTTTTCATCGGCTGTGGAGATGCCTAAGATGAGCTCATTTGGGTGC